CGGTGCCTGGGAATTGAGACGTTCCCAATCCCTTGGAGGACTGTGACAGTTTACCTAATGTGTTTAGACACAATCTTACAGACCCGGGACCAGCATGTACGGGCATAATTGGCCACATGAACAAGAAGGATGGCCTTTCATGTCCTTTTGGAAGGTCCTCGACTCACACCAGAATATCAGAGGAATGTAAATACGTGTATCAGTATGCAGTGCCTCCTACCTGAGTTTCCTCGTGCCCCATAGAGGCCTGTCAGTTTAAGGCCACACCAATTTAATTTGTTGGTTCTCGGATTCACCTCATTTTTTTCTGATTTGCAAAAAAAAAAGAAGATTCTGGTTCTGAATCAGCTAAAAAGTATGAGGTTCTGAATCAGCTAAAAAATGCTCACATTTTGCCCCGAACCGTTGAGGAAAGTCCTTTCCTTCCTAGTTGTTACAGTTTTTCCATCTATCAATGCAGTGGTTTGATTAAAAGTTCAAAATTCATTGTTTAAATATCAACCCAGCCTTTTGTGTTGACTTCATGGCTCCTATCGTACTGTAGCATTTGGGGCTAAAATAGGATGCCTACGCCTGTTTTTATTTTTTTTCACTGTCGCTTCATATTTTTCTGAAAAAATCCGAGAACCAACAAATTAAATTGGTGTGGCCTAAAGTAAGGACACTTAGTTCCTGAAATGAGTTAGATCTATAGGCAAACTGCCCACTTACGGAAAGGGTGACCACCACAATGACTAAGTCTTACAAATTCGCAGGGACAACGTAAATCCATACTACAAATTCAGATGCAAAGCTAGGTGTGATTTTAATGCGAATTGGTCCCCCGAAACCTCTTCTTCACCTGATCGACCATTACTCTAGGGGTGCCCAATCTGCATTTGTTACATATGAAGCATTTTAAGGTTAAGCCAAGCTGGGATAGGCCTTGGCCACAGAAAAATAATGGCGTGCATGTTTAAACTTTCAGATCCGGCCTGGGTCGAAAAAGCCACCCTCGCTCGAAGTTCAGGGACAAGGATACAAACCAGTGGACCATCAAAGTCAATACACGTCAGTCAATAAAAAACTGCTTATGACACAATATTGGTATATTTAATCTTCACATCATATCACAGGCTCATAACTTCTCTCACTAGTGCACATGTATCATTCATAGAGATCTTCGATCTTGGCTAATATGTATCTGTTACATATAATACATGATAAGGCTACACTTTACCTACAGGTACTGTTTGTTAGATGCTGTTTTCACTCTGCGATATTTACAGCATTTATAGGGAATGGCTCACATATGTAGGTACTTTAACCTATCATTTGTCGGACATCTATACGTAGAAGCCTCACTTGAGCTTGCATTGTCTTTAGGTTTACCTAACGTAGAGCTACGGGAATGACATTGTGTGTCACAGAATAACTTGTCTCCTCAGTCTGACATGTATGGAGTATGTCCTCATGTACAGTCTTTTCCAGCAGCGTGCGTTTGTTTCTATGAGTGTGGTTTCTTTTCTGGGATACGAGACACAGCTATCCAATTGATACAGATATCAAGCCTCTACCAGGCTTCGGGAGGCAGCCGGAAAGAGGAAAAAAAATTGGCCAAATTGAGAGATAACATGTACTCTCTATCGGACCAACTCCCCCGGTGTGTTATCTCTCCATTTGGCCAATTTCTACTCTTTCAGCTGCCTCCCAAAGCCTGGTAGAGACTAACAGACCTCGCCCTATACAATCTCTCCCAGTGAAAAGAAACTCTCATTTTTCTCATAGAAACAAATGCTACTAGAAAAGTCTGTACAAGAGGCTTTCTGGAGAACACATAGCTACAGAGCTGCACTGTGCTAATCTGATGGACTATGGTACTTGGCATTAGGCTTCTCCTCTCTTCCACTACATCCTAGCTTGGCATCGATGCCTACATCAGAGCAGGTCTGGGTGTCCTGTTCACATTACAGCGACAACTGCTGAACTCACTACGGCTTTCGCCTTTTTTACACAACGTTCACGACAACTTACAACTCTTGAAATCACATTGGTAGGTTTCTTGTAGAGTAATGCGATCGGAACGGAAGGAAGACAACACTTCTACTAGGAGCACAAGGCAGAAAGAATGCTGACAGTTTTTTTCTTCTCTTTAAACACTAAAAAGTTGACCTAATTTTTCACTAAACTGGTATGGCCGCACCGGGGAGTTAATAGAGCATTTTTTAAGACTTCATCTTTTCTACTAGTCGCTGCGTTTAGCTGCATTTGATTCCTATTGACAAGAAGCATGTTTCAATTCCAGTTTTACAACTTTGTGAAAAGTTTATGACTTTACACAACAGTATTCCGATCATGCGTGTGGTCCCCCGCCTCTGTACCGGACATGCGGACGTGCAGTGCAGAACACATGACTAAACGACGGGCTGCCATGAAATGGCACTTCAGTGAATATGTATGATATGGTCTCAAGCTAGTGGAAAATTGACTACTGTTCAGGCTGTCAAACACGCGCCGTGATGTATGCAGATGGACTCGGAATCGCCAAATTGGCAACAATCCCTTCCTAATGGAGAGACATGAGCCTGGGACTTGGAAGTAGATTACTGAGATTACGGAATTTCTCCTTGAACCTATGCTTCACTTTTTTTGGACAGAATCTGTCTCTGACGAGAGCCTTTCTGCAAACCCGGCTTCATTGTCGAGCAGTCGTTTCTTGGTGTTCTGCTGTCTGGTCCGAGTTGTTTTCAAGGCTTCGCGAATACATAAATCTCTCGCCGAAAATGTCATCCAAATCAGAAACGGTGAGTCCTAAATGTTCCATGACAACGGCTCGCCAAATGCTAATGAGCTTGTAAAACCAGTCAGCAATTTACTGCCGTAAAACGGTTCATTTAACGCCACAAATTCTGCCTGCCCGCGCCTCGTCCGCAGTTAAGGGAGCTCCGGAGACTTCTGTTGTCTCCCAGCTTGTTTAACCTTTATTAACACCGGAACACAGAAACCTGGTTCTATCTTCATATGGTGCGCGCGAAGCAGTCACGAGGAACTGTTGTCGTTTGGAAACGGTGATTGCATGCCTACGTAATGTGGGGAATGTGCCGAAAACATTTGAATAATAAAAAACTACTTATCAACTGAATGTTTGTATCTCAATCATGGTCCGAATCACTGTTCTGAAAATTTGAAATCTTGCAAGACCCTCTGAAATGCTATTTCCGAAAAGGCAATTTGAGGAGCAAATTTTGCTGGTAGACTAATTTAGCTTAGTTTAATGACATTTCATTCCAAATCTTTACCATACGATTTTGTCCATCAAAGATTATGCAAAATTTTTGTCCGTTATGAGCTGCGAAATTCTGTCAAATGATGGACCCTGGCTAGAACACTGGTCTAAAAGTTCTCTTGAATACAGTCGGATATGCTACAGAGACCACCAGGCCTTGCATGGGCAAAAATGTACATTTTGGTAGCCTCCTGTGCAGGCCTCTGAGTCACAACGGGTATAAGTTTTAGAACTGTTAATGACTCCTTTTGCCAGCCATCATACAACCTACCAGCCAGTCAATGGCAGTTTGTCCTGGATGGCCAGAAAAGAACATCTTAACCCTGGTGTTAAAACTAACCTGCTTGGAAGCCTACAAAGGAGGATAACATTCTGAGGTGGTTGCAGTTTGTTTGCTCAGCCCTCCAGCTGGGGTTCCTTTACTTTCACTCCTTCCTAATCTTTTAAGAGGTCAAGAGTCTGCACCACCTGACCCTTCTCCCACAATCCTACAAGAGCCTGCTGTCTCTCAACAGTGCTGAAGCCCTGGGGAGGGGGGAGGGGGGCGGGCGTTTCAGAACCCCACAAGGTCAAGTGGAGGTCAAGAGCCCTGTCTGCACCACTTGACCCTTCTCCCACAATCCTACAAGAGCCTGCTGTCTCTCAGCAGTGCTGAAGCCCTGAGGAGGGGGAGGGGGGCAGTTTTGGAACCCCACAAGGTCAGGTGGAGGTCAAGAGCGTTGTTTGCACCACTTGACCTCCCACAATCTTACACCTCTCTAAGAACCTGCGCGTCTCTCAGCAGTGCTGAAGCCCTGGGGAGGGGGGCGGCTTTCAGAACCCCACAAGGTCAAGTGGAGGTCAAGAGCCCTGTTTGCACCACCTGACCCTTCTCCCACAATCTTACACCTCTCTAAGACACTGCCTGTCTCTCAGCAGTGCTGAAGCCCTGGGGAGGGGGAGGGGGGGCAGATTTTGGAACAGGAATGAGCCCCACAAGGTCAAGTGGAGGTCAAGAGCCCTGTCTGCACCACCTGACCCTTCTCCCACAATCTTACACCTCTAGAGCCTGTCTGTCTCTCAACAGTGTTGTCAAGCCCTGGGGAAGGGGAGGGGGGCAGTTTCAGGAACCGGAATGACTGGAATGAGCGCCACAAGGTCAGGTGGAGGTCATTGTACATGGAGTAAATCTACACGGACATGTATAGCCAGAATCCAAACTTACACTTGGACCTGAACGACATAGTGTTACTCCTACACAGTTTGACATACATAGGTGTGTGTCACACCTACACATTGCTAGACATAGGCATCACTACAAGGTCATGTAAAGGTCAAGGTACATGGAGTAAAGTTGTAGCAAGAATCCAAACTTACACTTGGACTTGAACGACATAGTGTCACACCTAACAAACTGTGTTACATGTAGGCATTGTTTTCCATGTACATGTGTACCTCTTGAGGCTCCAGCAGCAGGTATGTAACATCTGTGTCCATAATATCACCAGGGTCCATAATATCGCCACCTTGAGAAATAGTGTGCTTAAAGATATTTTTACTGCAACATACCCTAGGTATGTACATTTGAGGTGTGAAGGAGTGCATACCAAAAGTATGTTGCAGTAAAAATATCTTTAAGCACACTATTTCTCAAGGTGGCGATATTATGGACCCTGGTGATATTATGGACACGGATGTTACTTTCCCCAATGTCAATCTTCCATTGCTGTGAACAGCAGCCTTTCCTGTGTTATTCTTGTTCAAGATACAGACTGAGTTATAAACCAGGCATCTGCATTTGAACTGTAAGATGAAAGAAGAAGTATCACACTTAATACAACCAACCCAGATGTGAGCACATCATCATTTTTACAAGTTATGGTTCATATCAGGAGATTTGGAACTCTCAGTAAAAGGTGACAGTAGGGTTTGGAATTAAATCTTATACATCATCATGGACTAACATTAATGTTTATTCACAATGATTTAAGTTGTGGCCGTGCTATGTACATATGGGGTCCTTCACAGTTCCGAATCGGACCTGAAACATTTTTTTTCTAAGAAGTCACAACGAGACTTTTGTGCTCCAAAATTCAGAGATAAGGCCACACCAATTTAATTTCTTGGTTAACGGATTCACCCGCTTCATTTTTTTCTGATTTGCAAATAAAAATAAAAATTCAAAATCAACTGCAAAATGCTCATATTTTGCCCTGAACTGTTGAAAACAGTCCTTTTCATCCTAGTTGTTACAGTTATTCCATCTTTCAATGCAGTGGTATCATTACCTTACCTAGTGGTATCATTAAAAGTTCAAAATTCATTGTTTACAATTTGAACCAGCCTGGTGTGTTGACTTCGTGGCTCCTATCTTACCATTTTAGGCCATAATAGGATGCCCAAGCCTGTTTTTATTTTTATTTATTTTTCGCTCGCCCGCTCAATTATTTTTCTAGAAAAATCCGTTAACCAAGAAATTAAATTGGTGTGGCCTAACCACAGTTACTACAAAAGGTCTACCCAGTAATAAGTTACATCTCAATCACATCTATTGAAGTCTTAATCAATCATGTCCAGCATACAATCATTATCTCATACGGGAATATAACATACAATAGGTACATACAGTACTCTGTGCTAACATTACGTCAACATTAGTATCCTACAATGCACAAGCAGTAATATTGTTCCTCTGTGACATACACAACTCTCTGCCAAGGCTCTAGCCAGCTCAAATGTTTTTTCCGTCAGTCCAGGTTATGAGACTGGATCTGGGGGAGACTGTTTGCAATCTAGTTGGGGGCTGTGGGCAAATTTTGGATTTTCAAGCCTCTAAAAACACTATTTCCCACTTTCTGAATGACAAATCATGGGGTCAAGAGTGGTGTCTTTGTTGTCCTTTGGATGTTTTTATATTTTTACCGCAGATTTAAATTTTTGTCAACTGTGACGGATTGGTTCGCAAAAATTTTGCTGTCACGGGCCGCAATTGACTGCGATTGACGGAAAAACGTGTGCTGGCTAGAGCCCCGCTTCCTGCTGTCTCTAAACCTCCTTAATAATTTGTGGCATGTTGTCTGTATCCCCTGACGGTCGGCGGTTGTCCCACGCAGCTCGGGATGACTGCTGCTGTTTCTACCCACAGGTGCAGTGGGGGTTTCTCTGCTGCTGCGGTTGTCTGGTGATCCTACGCAGCGACGCGTCTCCGTACTGGATCCCAGATCCCATTCTGTCCGGATCCAGCTCGCCTGCGGGAAAAACAACAGAGGAGTGGAATTACGTCATGCCTTCAAATATCAGAGTTATCAACCAAGAATTGAGGTATTCAAAAACTCGTATTTCCCCAGAACTATCGTAGACTGGAACTCGTTGCCACCAAGCACAGTTGGGGCATCATCACTAGAAAGCTTTAAACAACTCCTGCAATCAAGTGTGCAAAGATTGAGTGTAACAAGTCGTTCAGTGTGATATAGCTAGCTGCCGCCGCGCCGCGTGCCTGCAAAGCTGGTGTGTTACGCCGTAGGGCGGTTATACCGGCTATACAGATACAGAAGCTGGTGTGTTACGCCGTAGGGCGGTTATAACGGCTATACAGATACAGAAGCTGGTGTGTTACGCCGTAGGGCGGTTATACCGGCTATGTCGGTGAAGGTTAGCCTGTAAGAAACAAGGAAAATAAATGTTACCTCTACTTAACATCATTTCAGTCATTTGAGAATGTTAAGAAAATAAGTGTGTGTGTGTGAGTGTGTGTGTGTGTGCATGCGCGCGTGTGTGTGGGGGTATGTGTGTGTGAGTGTGTGTGAGTGGGTATGTGTGTGTGTGTATGTGTGAGTGAGTGTATGATACAGATACATTTCTTCCTTGTGTGGTCATGCATTCCATTGTCAGTTGTGCCTAAAGTAGAGTAAATGCCAGTGTTTTAATGCCAGCCACTCCCACATCCCTTGGAAGATGCCTCCGGGTTCATTCAACCTTCCACAAAAGTATATTCCCATGTTTGCTATACATAAGTCCAGTCAAAGCTTGCTATAAACGTACCACATATTCTACCACAACTTCTGTTCCCCACCCACATTTCTTCCTTATGGGGGCCTGCATGGGGGGTCCCAACAGAGCTGGCTACGTATTACCCTGAATTCAGGAAACCTCTCGATTACGCTTTACGTTAAATTCCAAGTGGCTACAGCACATTATGTAGAGTTAAAACGGTGAATACGATCTACGCAAAATGCGCCAGTAACGCTTTATGTTGAATTAGAGCAGTCCGTCTACAGTCTACGTAGAATTAAAATGGCCGATTACGCTCTACGGAAAAGGGCATGCGGGCCCCCTTGTGTGGTCATAGTGACTGCCAAGTGTTCCTTGATCAGCTAGAGTAGGGTAAGTTATTGTCAGCTTGCTGTGGGTTAATGTCATCCACCCCCGCATCCGTTGAAAGCTGCATCTGTGTTCATTCAACCTGCCACACAATTATATCACTAGACAGAAAATTATTATTTCAAACCCTTGCCAGCCAGTCACGGCAGTTAGACTTGGGACACCCTCCTGGGAAAATTAACTCCCGAACGCTGGTCTAAGTGTTTCGCTGCGTGGGATATCGCTGTGACTGGAATGTATTCCCACTGCAGGTTTTCACATATTCTGAGGAAAACCACAGGGGTAAAGCTGGCCTGTATCGTGGCTTAATATGATATGATAAACCTTTGAAAGGCTCTTACAGACGCTAATCATGCTAACAACTGCATCATACGTTGGGTAGAAATACACGTGTGTAAGGAGGGCCTGCATGCCCTTTTTTGTAAGGCGTAATCAGGCCTTTTTACTTTAGACTTCGTAATTCGTAGGCAGCCTCCGCAAAAATCAACGTAATTCGTAATAGGACATTAACCACAAGTCGTAATCAGCTCTGAGACATTAACATAATTTGTAATCGGTGGCGAAAATTTTGCGTAATTCGTCATCACTACCCCCCATGCAGGCCCTCTGAAAGTATTGCATGCATGACGCTGAAGAAGAGTGACGCATGTCACTCAAAACGTCAGGATGTAATCTCTGTAATTCATCCAGTAATGTACTAGTACATGACTGGTTTACTGAACTTCCAAAAGGTACAGTATCGCAAAAGCCCTTGACAGGGGGACTGAACTGCACTGATCTTTCCCAAAAGGACAGCTACTTTAGTGCACCTCTAGTGCACTAAAATCATAAACCACATATAAAATCTTGCAATCGAGTCTGAATTGCCATTGAATAATGTTTACCTCAATGCCTAACATTCATCAACGTACACAAGAGTACTGAACTAATCCCCAGAACTATCGTAGACTGGAACTCGTTGCCACCAAGCACAGTTGGGGCATCATCACTATAAAGCTTTAAACAACTCCTGCAATCAAATGTGCAAAGATCGAGTGTAACAAGTCGTTCGGTGTGATATAGCTAGCTGCCGCCACACCGCGTGCCTGCGAAGCTGGTGTGTTACGCAGAAGGGCAGTTATACCGGCTATACCGATACAGATATCTCAACGTAAGTATTGCATACATGATGCTGAAGAAACGTCCAGAAGTAATGTCTGTAATTTATCCAGTAATAGAGTTTGAATTGTTGTTGAATACTGTTTAACTGGATGTCTAACATTAAAGGCATCCAATGCGATTTCAGGGCAGCCAAACTGGAAATGTTCTGAATAAGGCAATCTTTGTGATATTGACACATACTTCTTCACATTACCACATTTGAATCAGTTTTTCGTACTTTGGGCTTCTAAAACTGCAGAAACAAGCCCCAAGATGAGTCTTTAATTTCCTGGGTGGTACCCTAAAAATCAGCCCAGGGCCCTTTCAGTGATCATTTTCTGTCAGAATTTTGGTAATTTTTCCTCCAAGAGGGTCAATATACATTGGGATAGTGTGGTTTTAACTCCGTATGTAGATAAATGACTAGAATATTGGCATTGGGTTTCCAAGCCCTAAAAACTGCACTGTAAGAATGTCTCAACATAAGGACTTCAGGACTCGAGGCCAGGATTGAGACACTCTCCCATTAGGCCACACCGACTTAATTTTATGGATGACATCCTCTGAAGACCCCCAAACTTGTGCGTGCGGGCGAATAAAAAAAAATTTCGACCAAAAACAAAAATGCTACTAAACCATAGGAATAGAAAGCTGGTATTGTGAAATTGCGGCAGTACATAGCGATGTACACGACAAGGCGGCACATGCCGGCTTTTGTGGAATTTACGAATCGGCACTGTAACGTTACGTGTGTAGTGAGTTCTTGAGTCGTGGAGTTTCGGTAGCCTGGGTGCCATCCTCCACAGTTACCACCGGCTCCGTATTGTCGCTAAGTACCATGGCTACCTAGGTCGTGGAGTTTCGGTAGCCTGGGTGCCATCCTCCACAGTTACCACCGGCTCCGTATTGTCGCTAAGTACCATGGCTACCTAGGTCTAGACCCAGTCCAGAGCCTCGGAGGACGTGATTTTTTTTTTTTTTGAGAACAGCCGAAAATCAGTGCGCGCGCGGATGTCATCCATAAAATTAAATCGGTGTGGCCTTATCCCGAATATCAAACGTGCCCTCAGAACTTCATGTTGATGGAAATTTCACCCTCCGGTTACAGATATCATTGCCAGACATTATAGGCTATTTAAGTGCTTCCTTCATCCACAACAATCAATTATGTAAAATCCTCGGGACATCAAAAAGTTCCTAGTAAATAATGAATCAAATGAAACTTGGTACAGTATGTTGAGGAGTACCGTAATTCACTTTATGTTCACGGTAGAAAAACTTCCCGGTCCGAGAAAAATGTTCGCAACTATACATTCGCGGTGGTGACAGGTGCAGGAAAAAGAAAGTCCAGGAATTGTTTGTTAACTGTTGTGATAAGTTCACGGTACAGAAGTAACAGTGAAAACAGTCAACATAACAGTAGAGTGCAAAAAATCAGGAATTACGATATTTTATGGCTTGATTGACATGTTTGATGAAGGTTAGACATCCAGGCAATACGATACGCCAAAAAGCAGTTACTCAAGCAACTGGATATGATTGTACAACCCCACCCTCAACAGGGAAGGGGGGCTACGGGTGGATCTCTCCGGCACTTGTGATATGGCACTCCCAGCCCCGAGAACAGACAACACTTAAGCTCCTGTTCTGCATAACAGGAGCTTTCTGACTAATTTGCATTATCTTGTCTTGACTTGTCTGACTTTTGTTCCATTTTCGACTTCCAAATATTTATCTTTGCTTTATTTGCAAATCAATCAATAGTTTTTGCTTATAAACCTGCATTTCCCCTCTGGTCTCTCAATCACTGACGAAAGCTAGTGGATACTAGCTGAAACGTCTGACGTTTTCAAAATCATATCCAGTTGCTTGAGTAACTGCTTTTTGGTGTGATTGACGTGTTATTTCTGGGAGAACCGAGCGCCGGGAGCGTCAGAAGCCGGGAAATTGGGAGTCAGTCTTGGGACTATGAACGTAATTCCTCCCTGCCTCGCCCCCGATCAGACAGGAGCCTATTTAATTTACAGCAATTAATGTTTAAATCCAACGAGTCTGAGTAGACTTCCCCCTGTGGGATGGAGCAGTTCACCACGCAGGTCAGGCCTAGGATAAAAAAAATGTTGAGATTACTGTTTCCCGACCGACCCTAGAAAAAACTGCCAACCCTAGCCTTTATTTGGACCCCTGCAAGGTACATAAATTTTTCAAGCTGATTTTTTTCAACCTTTCTAGCTCCATCTGACATCCGAAGTGATGAAATGTTGTACAATTGGTTCTCCAACATTGACATTGAAAATATAAGTGTCCTCATTCAAGCTTTACTTTGTTAAACTGTATTGTATAACTGGATCATTCGAGATCACCAAAATCTAAAGAATTGTAAAAAAAAAAAGATAATCCCTACCTACCGACCCTAATGGGGGGTGCCCTAATTCCGAGGTATGTTCCATGCAAACGCACAGACCTTTGGCAATAGTTTATCTGACCAAAAACCCGCGCAACATGAGATATAACATTGACAGATAAAGATCACAACGATTAAAGCTGCACAACTGTGTATTTCACTTGAGTGTAGCGCCTTGCACCCAAGCGTAATGGTTCGCGAAACTTACGGCAGGTTTTTGGTCATTTTGCCGGTGGAACGTTCTATCGCAACAGGGGTGCCCTAATTCCGACCTAGTGTTTAACACAGGTCGATCTGAGAAGAGAGTTTAGAAATTATAATACA